ATTTATTCACATTGGCTAATTTCTGGTAATCTATTGTTATTTCACTGATTCCTTCTGTTGCCATATGCTTTGAGGCTCTCTAGTGAACTTTTTATTTCTCTTATTTTACTTTTCAATTCCAAATTTTTTCTTTTGTCCTATTTATTTATTTTAGAAGCAGAGTCTTGCTTTGTTGCTCAGACTGGAGTGCAGTAGTGTAATCATAGCTCATTGCAATCTCAAACTTATGGGGTCAAGTGATCCTCCCACCTCAACCTCCTGAGTAGTTGGAACTACAGGTGTCATCACACTTGACTAATTTTTTAAAAAAATTTATTTTGTAGATATAGGGGTTGTCCTTACTAATCTTGAACTCCTGGACTTAAGTGGTCTTTCCACTTTGGCCTCCCAAAGTAATGGGATTATAGGGTGAACCACCACACCTGACCCCTTTTGTTTTTTAAAATAATTTCTGTTTTTTGTTGTTGAGTCATTTAAACCATTCTTTCCTGTAATTTTATATACCCAGCTTCCTCTTGTATAAAAATATTTACAATGGCTTCTTTGAAGTCTTTGTCTGCTAAATCTGACATTAGGGATATTTGTTTTCCATTGATTTTTATTTTATTTTATTTTTAAAATTTGGTTTTGTGTCTTTCTTTCTTTGCATATTCTGTTATATTTTATTTATTTCTGGGCATTTAAAATAACTCTGACTCTGCCCTCCCCCCATGATGGTTGCTTTGCTTGCCTGTTTTGCAGCTCACTTGGCTGACCCTGGGAAGGGTTGCCTTTGCTCCATGCAGCTGCTGCTTTCTCTCCTCATTATTTCCCCTGGCTTTGTTCCTTGTTTTGTTGCTTCTGTGTCAGTTTAGCTTAGTCTTCAGCCAGAGATTTGTGAGTTGTTGTCCCCAGATACACAGCAAGGTGGTGTTCTCTCTCGCTCTCTCCCTCCCCCTCTCCCTCTCCCTCTCCCTCTCCCCCTTTCTTGTTTGTTTTTCCCCCTTTCTCCTCCTCTTTCTCTCTCCTCTCTTTTGTAGCTCTGTGTTATATATTTGGTATTTCTAGTGCTTTGCTGGATAGTGACCTCAGGTAGCAGACCTCCTTGTTCGTTTTCCATTGAAATCGTCTTCGCTTTAAACTGAAATCTTCATATCCAGCGAGTCTCTCTGGAGGTAGCAGAGAGTCTTGCTGTTTTTCACTACTTGCCTCACCCTGGTGGAATGACAGCTTTGTCCAGCTTTATAGTTGCTTTTCAGGAAAAGGATTTATCATCCCCCATATTGTGTCGTGCTGGAAGTAAATCACCAAATATTCTTGTTAGAATACAGTACTATTCATTTTGTTTTTCTGTCTTAAGTTTGCTGTCAGGTTTTTCTTGTGACAGATAGGAAAGATGGAACTTGAGTTGCTTTCATTTCATTGTACTTCAAAAAATTAAGAATAGTCGTTCAGTTTTGTTACTGTTGGAATTAAGAGATTGTACTGTGGATCTCAATATAGCTAATGTATCAGTTTCCTCATTTGTAAAATGACCACAGTACTAGTCCTAAATATACTCATTTTTATTTATCTTTCTTGACCCTAGATTTGGGTGACGATTAAATGAGTTAGTTAAAACACTTAAAATAATGTCTTGTACATAAGTACTAGATAAATCTCTGTTTTGATGTTTATGCACTTGTCATTTTTTTCATTAAATTAGTTTGTTTGTGATTCTTTGGCAATTAAATATCTAAACTCTTGGACATATATCACTTTGTAGTCTTCCTTTTTTGTCTATCCAGTGATATTAAAGTTTCCTAACTAACTAGTAGTGGATTTGAATATTTGAATGCTTACCCATGTTCTATGTATCTATATATTTACTGCACACTGTAGGTGGTGAGCTTCATTTTCTCCAAATTGGAGGAACCTGTGATGATATTGATGAAGCTGATATACTAGTAGATGGCTCTCTTTCTAAAGGAGCAGAACCATCTTCAGAAGGTTCCAAACCTTTATCAAATCCTTCAAGTCCTGGCATTTCAGGTATGACATTAAATTTTTAAATGATTATTTGAAAATGCAAATTCTCACGAGGTTAAGTTTTCTGAGTCTGTCTTTTAACATTTTAAACATTATTTCAGTTTTTATAATCAACTCTTGATTGCTTTGTTTAGGGGTTTTATTTCCTTGTTGACATTGGTTACTAGGCTTGTTATTTATCATTATTTTTCTGGTAGTTGGAAGATGTTGTAAACATTAAAATATGAGATGATTCTCAACCTTTGACAGACTAATCAATATTGGTATTTCAGCCATAAAGGAGCTTTTAGTCTAGTTATAGAGGAAACAACCGTGAAAGAAAGGAAAATTCATTAATTGTCAACTCAGCAGATGGGCTAATCTTAATATTACTATCGGAATTGAAAAACTGAAAAAATATACTCCCACTGAGTATATTTAGTAGTACATTTCCACTCACTTTGCCCCTTCTTGAACCTTCAGATAGATTTTTGTTTGTTGTTTTGCCTTTTTTCTTGCCCATGTTTTACATTGCCCTTCAGAGCTATTCTTTTTTTTTTTTTTACCAGAATTTATGATAACATATGATTTCTCACTGAAAAATTATTACTTGCTTTGTAGACTTACATGAAATAACTCAGCTTATTTCTCAGGCTCCAGTTACAGTAAACATCTTATGATTTCTCTAGTATGTGATTTCATTTCCTGACTACCCTGTGTTACACTAGGCCACCCGCTCACCCTCACCTTTAGCTGGAGTTAGTCCTTGTATACTTCCGTAGTGCTGTGTTTTACCCTCTGCACCAACCACTTTATCCTCTGAACCCAATATTTAAAATGAACTTAAATGAATCTTTAATGAAAAATGTATTTAAACTCAAACATATTTCTTTCTTTTTTTTTTTAAAGCAAGATTTATTGAGAGGACAGAAAAGCTCCCACAGTGGGAGGGGACCTAAAGGGGTTGCCCCAAACATATTTCAAATAGAAATATTTCCTGAAGTTGGTGTTGACCTTTATGGCCACTTATATTTTAGCATTTGATCATTCTTCCTTGCATACTTTTAGTGATCACTAGTATATGTTAAATTTAGGTGATCTTTTTTTTCTTAGTGATTACTAGGATAATCTATGGTAATCTTTACTACTTAATATGTCAGCTTCAGCACTAGTGACATTTTGGACCAGGTATTTTTGTTATTGTTGTTGTGAGAAGACTGTCCTGTGCTGTATTAACTGCATCTCTGGCTTCTACCCACTAGATTCTAGTAGCATACACAACCATTGCCATCTTGACTAAATTAAATTAATTTAATTTAATTTTTTTATTTTGTTTTATTTTATTATTTTATTTTATTTTATTTTATTTTATTTTAGAGTTGGAGTCTCACTGTGTCGCCCAGACTGGAATGCAGTGGCCGCTCCTGGCCACTGCAGCCTTGACCCACTGGGCTCTGGTAATCCTTCCGCCTCAGCCTTCTGAGTAGCCAGAATTACTGGTGCACGCTACCATGCCTGGCTGATTTTTTGATTTATTGTAGAGATGAGGTCTCGCCAAGTTGCCCAGGCGGGTCTTGAATCCGCGGGCTCAGGCAATCCACTTACCTCAGCCTCCCAAAGCGTGGGATTAGGCTGAGCCACCGAGCCCGGCTTATTTATTTATTTTAGAAATGGGGTCTCACTATGTTGCCCAGGCTAGTCTTGGACTCCTGGCCTTGAGCGATCCTCCCGCCTCAACCTCTCAAATTAGGGATTACAGATGTGAACCACTCAACCTTGACAATCAAATATTTCTATATAGGCAAAATAATCTCCCAGTTGAGGTATACTGACTTGTTGTAACTAAAGACTTGATTGTCTTGGTTCACTGTGTCCTTTGGTATAAAAAGCTAACATACTGAATATTTTCATATTATGTTAGGTTATGCATGGACTGGAGGAGAATTTTCATGTAAAACATATAAAATAGTTTTTAGTAGGGAAAGATAAGTTAGTTTATAAAGAAATATAAAGGACACTGTTAGCATGCTGTTAATGTTTACAAACTTTTAATAATTCTTTAAATCAGATTTTAAAAGGTCTAGACTTTGAGGAAAAGATGCAATTTGAAGTAAACATGTAATAATTTTATAAAATTTGGTGTCATTTTTCTTTGCGAAAATATTCTAGACCTATTGCCTTTCATACTTTAGTCTTTAACTAATTTTTTAAAATTGGAACAAAAACAATAGCTTCTCAGCTTTGTGTAATTAGAATTTCACAGATATGAATGCATATACAGTGTTTGTAAAAGAAAATCTGTCTGAAGCAGATTTGGTTGCTCTTCTCCTACTGGTATGTGCAAAAGATATTTTTGACTACCACAAGTAGAAAAAAATACTGTTTAATCTTTTAGTTTATTTGTTTGCCATCAATGTAGCTTTTGGCTATTTTTTAATATTAGTTTTTATTGATTATAAAAGGATATATGTTATGTACGTGTTGCTTTCTAGCATTTTGTCTTGCAGATAACAAGTCTAAAAGTTAATTACTGATCTGATGTAAATTGGCTTGCATTTTAGTACTGGTTTTGTTGCCCTTATTAACTCAGGGCTAGTTAAAGCTGGGACCTTTCTAACAGGTTGGTTCTCACAGAACTCTCCCTAAAATTTGAAATGCTCAAGATAGACTTTTCTTCTGTGTGGTTGTTCAGCCAGTGCTTGTTATTTTAGTTGTTTATAGTTTCCTGAGCCTGCTTTATTAACTTTCAGGATGGTTGGCAAGTGTTGCAATTGAATAGACAAAAACCATGAATTAAAACTTCATCATCTTCTTCTTTTTTTAACCCATTTCAAATACTACATCCACAATGTTAAGGCGTTGACTTACTGGTGGACCAGCCATTCACCCTTGAAATCTTGACCTCTCTAGTGGAGCTAACCCGCTTTGAGACTTTGACTCCAAGGTTTTCGGCCACTGTCCCTCCATGCTGGGTAGAAGTTCAGCAAGAACAGCAGCAGAGGAGACATCCTCAGCACTTGCATCAGCAGCACCATGGGGATGCTGCGCAGCACACCAGGACATGGAAGCTGCAGACCGACAGGTAAAACGTGCTTCCAGGAGCTTCTACTTTCAGCGTGTGGCGTGTGTGTGTTGGAGACAGTGTGAACTTCTTGGGTGTACTGCTGTTTATCTTTACTTCTGTGTATTAGTGATGTTGTTCCTTCCATTTGTCATCTCAATTTTGGAAATTGCTGAATTGTTATTAGCTGTGGGGTAGAATAGTGAGAGTAAATCTACCGCTTCTGTATTAGTTTGGTCACTTAGTCCACAGTTTTATTTAAAAATACTTGAAGTCTTGTTTTTTAAACCATCCTTTGCTGGCCAAAAAAAAAAAAAAAATAACCCCAAAAGCAAAAAACAAGAAACAAAGCAACTTGTTTAGTAAAAGCAGGCACTCTTGTAGTCCCTAGTAATAAGCCTCTCATGGAATTGACATTCAGTGGCAGTAGACAGACTACAGTAAGCAGGTCATGGACTATGCTATATGGTTATGCAGTCTGTGGAAAAATGTCCAGAGTATGGTGGTAGAGGAGTTGTTGGATATGGAGCTGCGTGTGTGAGAGAAGGAAAAAGAGAGAGAGGAAATGCGTCTGCTATTTTTTACATAGGGAGCCTGAGAAAGGCCTCTATGGACAACAGCAAGTCCAAAGACCCTGAGGTGTAGATTTTACAAGCTCTAGGAAGAGAACGAAGCTTATTGTTGTTGGAGGCAGTGAATGTAGGAGGGAGGGGTAGAAGGTAAGCTCAAAGGAGGCAGCCGGAAGCCAGATCGTGCGTGTCTTCATACACGGAGACCTTGATGCAGCCTGAGACAGAAAGAATTGGAACTTTGAATACAGGGGTGATGTGATCTAGATTGAGAAGGATTTGGGGACGACTGGGTTAGACTCACAGGTGCTGTGGTAGGGACAGCAATGGAAGAAGCAGGGATTCTGCTGTGGTTGCTGTTGGTGATACGGGTGAGATGCTGACGGGAGTTCCTGCCGTTGTGACGGTGATAGAGGCAGTGAGAAGAACAGGTGGATTCTGGATTTCATTTGGGGGTAGAAGAAATAGAATTTGCTGATGTATTGAACATACTGTATGAGAGAAGAGTGATGGGTGACTCTAAAGTTTGGCTTGAACTCATTAAAAATGAAGTTTCTGTTTACTGAGATTTGGGAGTGGGTTTTTTCATGGTGAGTTTGAGATGTCCAGTAGACGTTTGAATATGAGCCTCAAATATAGTGGAGGAGGCCCGGAGTGGTGACTCACTTCTGCAATCCCAGCACTTTGGGAGATTGAGGTGGGAGAACTGCTTGAGCCCAGGAGTTCAAGACCAGCCTGGGCAATATAGTGAGATCTCGTTAACAAAAAAATTAGCCTGACATGGTCATGCACACCTGTAGTCTCAGCTACTTGTGAGGCTGAGGTGGGAGAATTGTTTGAGCCCACGAGTTCAAGACCAGCCTAGGCAACATAGCAAGATCTTATCTCCACAGAAAGTTTAAACATTAGCCAGGCATGATGGTGGGCACCTGTAGTCCCAGCTACTGGGGAAGCTGAGTTTGGAGAATCACTTGGGGCCAGGAATATGAGGCTGCGGTGAGCTGTGATGGTACTGCTGCATTCTAGCCTGGGAGACAGAGCGAGACCTCAACTCAAAAAAATGAAATACATACACACACATTGGAGGGCTTTAGCTTGGAGATTTTCATTCTTTTACATACATATAGGATTTAAAACCCAAGATGAATATATATATATATTCTAGAAATACAAGAAGTTCTTGTTTAAAATGAAGATGAAGGTTCTGGGACTGCACTCATAGGTCTAGGTGGTGGGACCCCACCTGCACCCCCAAATCTGCAGGTACTTTGGTGCATGATTGTTCACACTTTGAGAAATAAGCGTTTACTGGTGTGTGCTAGTCCTAGTGCAGGCAGAGAGTCCTGAAGTAAGGTCCTCCGTTGCCCCGAGCTTAACCTTCTCTCCTGGGCGGTACTTACCTTCCTCTTCTGATCCCATTGAGAAACATTACATTTTGTGTAGTGGCCCACATCAGAAAGTAGGAAAGGTGGTATTAACAATGATATTATGGCTGAGGAAAGATTTTTCTTTATTTAGCATTTTCCCCCTTATTTGACAGCAACAGCTGGGATGAACATGTGTTTGAATTGGTACTACCTAAAGCTTGTATGGTTGGACATGTGGACTTCAAATTCGTTTTGAACTCAAACATCACCAATATTCCTCAGATACAAGTGACATTGCTGAAAAATAAAGCTCCAGGATTAGGGAAAGTCAATGGTAAGAATGGATAAAAATTTATGTTTGAAGGTTTTATTTTATGGTTAGTTTCTCATTTTCAACGTGGCTGCCTAGGTTTGATGTCCCTTCCTGCCCCGTGTTGTGATTTGCCTGCTCAACTTTTTGTGATTTTTGTTTAAAAAAGTAACTCAGAGAAGATTTCCAAACTTATCCAAGCTTGGTAATGTTCAGAATTACCTGAACTTAAATGATATAATTATGATTTTTGGCAAGTGGGATTGATTCCTTTGTGAATTAGTTTCACTTTTAATGTTACTAGCTTCATGCATTTCTTTTCCTAAGAGGAGATGATTGTGAAAAGAACAGTTAACAGAAGTACTCTTAAGAATGGACTACTCTTAAGGTTTTTAGTAAAGCCAACCTTTCATGTAATGCCAGAAATATACCCGTTTTTATTTATCTTTCTTATAAGTTCAAAATTTGATATACTCAGTTATTAAAATAGATTATACACATTTAGCATGTTAGGAACTTCTTAGTGTCTTTTCCTTAATAGTTTAGTTTTAAAAGCCAGGATAAGTATAGGGTATAATGACAGCTTAACACCAGGGGTTCAAATATTGAAACCTGAAAACTTTCTCTGTGAAAGATTATGTATTAATTTGCCTGCCATGTCTGTGGTTTTTGCATCTGAGGATCCAACCAGTCTCAGAAACAATGAACCATAGATTGACTATATTTATTTATTTTTATTGTTTTAAAAACCAATATTAGAACAATAAAAATAATAATACAAATAAAAAGCAATGTACCAACTATTTATGCAACATTCACATTACATTAGGTATTATAAGTCATCTGGGGATGATTTAAAGCATATGGGAGGGCCTGTGTGCTGTGGCTCACACCTGTAATCCCAGCGCTTTGGGAGGCCAAGGCCGAGAGAATTGCTTGAACCCAGAAGTTTGAGACCAGACTAGGCAACATAGCAAGACCTCATCTCTACAAAAAAATAAAAAAATAGCTGAGCTTGGTGGTGCATGCCTGTAGTCCCAGCTACTTGGGAGGCTGAGGTGGAAAGATCACCTGAACCCAGTAAGTGAGGGTGCGGTGAGTCATGATTGTGCCACTGCACTGCATCCTGGGAGACAGAGTGAGATCCTGACTCAACAGAAAGACATTTGCAGTTAAAAAAAAAAAGTATATGGTAGAATATGCCTAGGTTATATGCAAATATGATGTGACTTATACAAACGATTTGAGTATCCATGGATTTTGGTGTCCGTGGGGGTCCTGAAACTCGCTCCCTACAGATACCGAGGTATTATTGTGTGTTTGTATATTTATGTGAGTTTGTGTAAGTACAGGTGCGTTTGTGTGTATTCTTTTGAATCATGACAGATTTTGAATTAATTGGGCATAGGACTTAGGCTTTGCTATTTTAAAAGCTCTGTAGGTTCTTGTACTATGCAGCCTTGGGTAGGAAGTTTTAGTTTAGTTGCCAACAAATGATTTCTTCAAGTGAATATTTCATTACCATTAAAAGAGAAAAAGTGTGGAAAACAATTAATTAAATCAAATCTTCTTTTTTGATGACCTTTTTATAGCATCTGTGATGAAAATCACAGTAGTTCCCAAGTTAACGGAAAATTTTAGATTTTTTTAGACACAGAAATCATTGATATTAAGCAAAATTAAGTTTACTAATATTTTTATCCTCTAGAAACAGCAGTAGATAGGCAGATCACCTTTCCTTTGTCTCCAGCTCTTAACATTGAAGTGGAACAAAATGGGAAACCGTCCCTGATTGATTTGAATGAAGAAATGCAGCAGATGGATGTAGAGGAATCACAGTGTGAGTCAAACTACAGAGCTGTTGTCCATGACCGTCAAAGGAGTAGTGGCCCAAATGCATCATGTTGGCAAAATTTTCTTATGGCTTGCAAAAACTTGGTTTTAAGAACATGATTAAAACATAACCTGTAATTCTGCTTTGGCAATACGCTTTAACTTTCAGCTCGTCTTTTGTGAATACAGCTGCTTTAATACTCGCATTCTTGGTGTTTACTACCTTGGGGTTTGAAATCTAGTCATGGTTTTATAAAATTTTTCAAAATCAAGGTGAAATATAATATGGGAATAGAACAACACAGTGTAATATTATCAGATAATTGATTAGAATTCCTTAGCATGATGATGAATTCTTATTTGAACACTTTCTAAGTATGGTATTTTGTGTGATGGTATATACGTAAAGGGGATGGATATTTGCTTATTAAATATTACATTTTCAATAAATGAATTTAAAAGAAAAATGTGTGTGTTTTTTTTTTTTTTTCCCCCAGGTCTTAGATTATGTCCATTTCTAGAAGATCATAAAGAAGACATTCTGTGTGGGCCGGTATGGCTTGCTAGTGGCCTTGACCTATCAGGGCATGCTGGGATGTTGACATTAACAAGTCCCAAACTTGTTAAAGGTGAAGTAACACATTTTATAAAAGCAGAATTAATGTAAAAAAGATATTTAAGGAAGTTTATCTCAAAAACAGAAGATATTACTTTGGGACTTTCATTAGACATTTTGTCAGTTTCCTGGTAGCTGAGATCTTTGTTTCATAAGTGACTGTGTGGTCATCTGATCCTACTTTTTGTGTTCTAGAAGTCTTAGTGCTTTTTAAAAAAGCATAAAGAAATGACTACAGGGTGGCTTAGTGTGATACAGCAGAACTCTTCTGAGTAAGCAGGCTTTGTATTCTGTCATTTTTTTTTTACCTTCCCCATTGCTTCAGAGTCCCATCTTTAGAATTTTGTTGTGTTGTTATACTATTGTTTCTTGAAAGAGCATTTTTATAGGGGAGCTTTGATAATATTAGATTCAATTATTTGAGTGTCATAAGTAAATGCAAATTATAGTGAAGGTATATTTTTAAATAATTGACCATTATATAGATAATATAAATATTAGTAGTAGGACTTTCTTAGCTTTTGTATCCTGGGATGAATTAAGAAAACAAACAAAATGCCTAACTTGATCGCTGAAAAAATTTTGAGGTGGCTCAAACCAACCCAAGAAAATAGCTGACTACCTAAATAACTATTTTAATTTGTGTACATTCCCTTTATGATGTTTGTCCCCATTCAGACATTTGCGTTTAGTTGCAGTCATAGTACACGTTGAGTATCCCTTATTTGAGATGCTCGGGAGCAGAAGTGTTTCAGATTTTTTTTGACTTTTGAAATATTTGAAGTATATTTAACTGATTTAGCATCTCTAATCCAGAAATCCAAAATATGAAATGCTCCGGTGAGTCTTTCCTCTGAGCATCACATTGGCTCTTAAAGAATTTTGGATTTGGAGCATTTACAGTTTTCAGATGAGGGATATTCAACCTGTATGTATGCAGGTCTTACTGTGCTTTCTTGACTGAATGTCATTTGTTGGTTAAGTTTCTGATACTCCGTGAGGTGTTAGACATCAAACTGGGATACAGTGGTGAACAAAAACTTATAAAATATCTTCTCTCATTGTTTATAAGTTAGCTTTGTTCAGTGTGTGAAATTTAAATTTTTGTATGAAAATAGAAATGTTTTTGACAAAATTAATGATCGACTTAAATGGCATATATCTGGAATGCAGCAGTACTGTAAAAGTGCTGGTTTTTCTTAGCATATTAACTAAGATTTATTATTTTTCTCATAAAATTCCTCCCCAAATTTTCAAACCTGGACAAGGTGACTGCTAAATTTTTATGGAAGAGTAAAAGGGTGAGATGGGCCAAAGAAGTTTTGAAACAGAAGATTGAGAGGGAAGTCTTGTCAGATACCACAAGATGGAATGGCCCAGCAGTGTGAAGAGTATGGTAGTGTAGTGCCAGCGTGGCAGGCAGGCAGATGGGGGAAGACAGCAGCAGTAGCATTCTCATCACGAGATCTACACCTGCAGAGACAACAACCGACTGGTAGTTTGCTGGCAGGTATCTTAATTGGAGGGTATTTTTACAGCACATTTTGCATACGAGTTATATAGTATTATCTCAATTTAGTTAAAACGATATAAAACACATTCTGGTGATAATCATTTGAGTGTTTTCTTAGTGCCTAGTACTGTTAAAAGTGGTTTACTTAACTTTTAGATAGGTACTGTTATTCTCATTTTATATTTGATGACAGTGAGCCACAGAGAGGATCATTCGTCACATGCTTAATAAATGGCAGAACTATTACTCAAACTCACTTGGTGCTCCAAAGCCTGCACATTTTTAACTGTTAATACATAGGAATGATTGTGCCTGCGTGCATTAGAAGACTGCATGGATACTTGTATGGTGCCATCTTATCTGTGAATGATACCTTAATGCCAGCTTTATTTTCTTTTTTTGTAGTTCACAAAATTTCTACCGTTAAAATAAATAATGTCATTGGGAAAAAAGCATGCCAAACGTTTATAACAATTAGTCAAACATTTATATTTCATGCTCTTCATGTCACTCTTGTGTCTTTTTTTTTTTTTTTTTTTTTTGCTACCAACATATGAAAGTCATTTGACTATTTTAAACGCAGTGTAGTTGGAGAATTCTGGTCTGGTGTACTTTTTCTGGAGTTAATTACTTAGCTTACTCTGTGAAGATGAAAAACAGTTGACTTATGGTGATTAAGTTATTCATCTCGTTCTATGCCACTCCCCTAGGTATGGCAGGTGGAAAATATCGTTCATTTTTAATCCATGTCAAGGCAGTGAATGAAAGAGGAGCAGAGGAAATTTGTAATGGTGGTATCCGTCCTGTAGTAAGACTTCCATCCCTCAAACACCAGAGTAACAAGGGCTACTCACTTGCTTCACTTCTGGCAAAGGTTGCAGCGGGCAAGGTATGAAACTGTCATTTTGAATAACAACAGTGCTGGTTTAAACACTATGGATCAGATCTGACACCTACTGGAAGTAGTAGGACCCTTCAGTGATGTTTTACTTCATACTTGGTTTGTATTTTTTCTTTGCAATGACTTAGAAAAATATAATTTAGAAGAAAATGTTTTGAATTAACTTTAGACAAATTACTTAGCTTTTATAAAATATACCGAGTAGTGGGTAATTGTTATCAGGTATAACTATTTGAGGCCATAATACTTACTTCCATAGGTATGAGAGTTTTTCTGTGTCCTCTACTCATAACTCACAACTTTGTTTGTGTGTGTTTTTGAATACTTGGGAGGATGCAGAGAGAGAAGCTGGAAGGTAATTTTAAAGATAAGTTCTAATCTTCATGGTTGATTTTTCTACAACCACTCGAGTAACACACAGCTCTTTAAAATGATCTGATCATGGAGTTTCCTGAACAAACAGGGAACTGTCTTGTCATCATTATTCATGCACAGCAGTAGTAGTAATATTAGTAACCCTAATTGTCTTGTATTTGTGTAGGTCTTCCAGTTTTTTAAGGACTTTTGTGTACTTTATCTGATTTAATCCTCAAAATAATTCTTGAGGGTGAGAGGGTGAGATGCTGTTGCTGCTGCTTTTTTCTGTTGAAAGTGAGTGAACCTTAGTGAGCGGGGTGCTGGTGATGTTAAGGGCTGCAGCTGGAAAATTGGACTCAGAACTTGGATTGTATAATCTTTACTCATTGGGTTATTGTCTTTAAAATAGTGACTATGACTTTCTTTTCTTTTTATCATAATTTGGGGGGAAATTACTTATTTACTGAATATGAGTTTAACAGCTATCATTTTAATTTGAGATTTGTGTTTTGTTAGTCATAATTCAATTATTTGCCTTTATTTCACAACTTTGGTGGTAAATAATTTTTAGCTTTGTTTGCTTATTATTTGTTTTCATATGTTTAGGAAAAATCATCGAATGTTAAGAATGAAAATGCAAGTGGTACCCGTAAATCTGAGAACCTCAGGGGCTGTGACTTACTTCAAGAGGTCTCAGTCACCATTAGAAGATTTAAGAAAACTTCAATTTCTAAGGAAAGGTAATCTTAATTTATTCTCCTACTATTCTCAGTAATAAAAGTATAAGACATGCAAACAGACACATACAAATTTTTAATGTAGTCTCAGCGAGGGTATGAGTTATCTTTCTACTTCAGTGGTGCCTACACAATGCTAGTTATATACCAGGAATAGTTGAGGAAATAAATAAATATGATTTGAAGTTATTCTCTCCAGGCAAGGTAGTGCATGCCTGTAGCCTACTTAGGAAGCCGAGGTGGGAGAATCACTTGAGCCCAGCAATTCGAGTCTAACCTGGGCAAGATAGCAAGATGTATTGTCTGAAAAAAAAAATGACGTTATACACATTCTTTGTTACATTTTAACACATTATTTTAAACTTCATATCTTTAAAACAGTTTTTTTGCAAAGGAAGTACTCCATTTGTGCTATTAATTTCTAAATTGTAATTGTGACAGTCATGATTTCAAATGAAATATTAAGGCCAAGTGTGATGGCTCACGCCTGTAGTTCTAGCACTTTAGGAGGTGGATGCGTGAGGATTGCCTGAGCCCAGGGATTTGAGACCAGTCTGGACAACTTGACAAGACTTTGTCTCTACAATTAAAAAAAAAAATTAGCCAGGCATGGTGGCGTACAACTAGTTCCAGCTGCTTGGGCTGAGGCAGAAGGATTGCCGGAGCCCAACAGGTCAAGGCTGCAGTGGCCGTGATCATGCAACTTCTCCAGCAAGGGTGACAGAATGAGGCTCCAAAGATGAAACATTACATGGTCAAGCAAGTTGTGAAGGTTTAGTCATTCTGTTTTTATTGGTAACATATTTATATTTTCTTTTTTTGTAGAGTGCAACGATGTGCCATGTTACAGTTTTCAGAATTTCATGAGAAGCTTCTTAACACTCTTTGCAGAAAAGCAGATGATGGCCAAATCACAGAACATGCCCAGAGCCTTGTGTTGGATACGCTCTGCTGGTTAGCTGGAGTACATTCAAATGGACCTGGCAGGTTAATAATTACAGTTTTGCTTACCACTGATGAATGCCCTCTGTGTTAAAATTAGAAGTGCAAGACTGTGTGTTAGAATTAGAAGTTACGATTAGCGGTGCAAGACAAGTCTGAGTGTCTCCTATTGTTTTGCAGCTCAAAGGAAGGAAATGAAAGCCTGCTTTCAAAAACACGAAAATGTCTTTCAGACATTGTACGCGTTTGCTTCTTTGAGGCAGGACGAAGTATAGCCCACAAGTGTGCCCGGTTTCTAGCCTTGTGCATAAGGTTTGTGTGTTTTTAAGTTGAAAGTTTACCTTGTAGGTACACCTGCAGTTTACTAGGTGATACTTTGTCTGTGGTGTAATTTGATCCTCATTGAATGTATGTTACTTAAGTGAAGTCCAAAAGTTGCTGAGGGTTATTGAGATTCTAAGCAAGAGTTCTGGGGTCAAGGGCAAAAGGGCATGTTAAACTAGTCTATTAATAAAAGAAGTCTAAGCTTCTCTTCCTGCTATTTCGAGAATTTGGCAAGAAGAATCTTTCCCGTTTCACTCCTTTTCTCCCTGATTGTCTTTTCTTGCACTGAAGCTGTGCTCCCTGTTATGTAAAAGACTTGCTGGGCTTTTTTGTAACATTTGTGTAGATCCTTTTTTCTAAGCCCAGAAACTTAAGTTACAGTTGTCCTTCCTCTCTTATCCATGGGGGCTGTGTACCAACACTCCCCGGTGGATGCCTGAAGCTGCACATAGTACTGAACCCTATGTATGTTATGCTTTTTTCTATACACACACCTATGGTAAAGTTATTTTATAAGTTAGGCACAGTAAGATTAACAACTAATAAAATAGAAAAATTATAACTATACTGTAATAAAAGGTGAATGTGGTCTCTCTCCACACCTTACTGTGCTCTACTCATCTATTTTTTTTAAAACTCTGGATAGGGTTCCTGCTTCCCACTGTTCAAGGGATTCTATATCATACTATATCTAGAAGATGTTTAAGAGCTAATAGTCAGTACTGCCTGTACCTGCTTGTTAGCACTTCTTTTTTTTTTTTTGAGTCAGAGTCTCACTCTGACACCCAGAGTGGGAGTGCAGTGGCACGCTCCCGGCCACTGCAGCCTTGACCTCTGGGCTCTGGCGATCCTTCCACCTCAGTCTTCCAAGTAGCTGGAACTACAGGCGCGCATTACCACGCCTGGCTTATTTTTGATTTATTGTAGAGATGAAGTCTCACCAAGTTGTCCAGGCAGGTCTCGAACCCACGGGCTCAGGCAATCCACTTGCTTCGGCCTCCCAAAGTTCTGGGGTTACAGGCTGAGCCACCAAGCCTGGCCAGCACTTCTTAGTAAAGATACTGTTTTAATCCATAAGAAAATAATTACTGAGATCCTTAGTGTAATCAGTTCCTATTATCTTTCTGTGTCTATGGGACTTTAAGGCAGATTTTTCTTGTAATCAGTATGGCTACATTTTATTTTATTTTATTTAGTTGGAGTCTCACTCTGTCACCCAGACTGGAGTGCAGTGGCCGCTCCCGGCCACCGCAGCCTCGACCCACTGGGCTCCGGCGATCCTTCCAAGTATCTGGAACTACAGGCGCGCACTACCATACCCGGCTCATTTTTTGATTTATTGTAGAGATGAGGTCTCCCCAAGTTGCCCAGGCGGGTCTCGAACCTGCGGACTCAGGCAATCCACTCACCTCCCAAAGCACGGGATTACAGACTGAGCCACCGAGCCTGGTTTATGGCTACATTTTAAAGATGACAGTAATTTGCCAGGTTTAGGTTTGAATTTAGACCCTGAATAAATGTCTTTAAACTTTATTTCTTTCTAAACATTTTTTCAGTAATGGCAAATGTGACCCATGTCAACCAGGATTTGGATCTGTTCTGTTGAAGGCTTTACTTGATAATATGTCACTTTTACCTGCAGCAGCAACAGGAGGTATGTAAAACTAGTTTAATCACAAATAGCTACAGTCCTAGGGAGTATACTCAAGATTATTTAGTAGCTATTCTTTTTTCTTTCTTTCTTTTTTTCCCTGTAATTTAATCTGTATTTTTTTAAGAGGTTGATAAATTGTGATTGGGTGGGCATTTACTATGTGTTCAGTAATATTCCTTAAGAAAAGTTTCATAGGACAGTTATGTAAATATCAAGTCATCTTAATTCGTATTTTTTTGGTACTTACTTAAAGCCATCATGTTGTTTGATTGTTTACTGACTGTAGATGGCATAAATAAGAAAATGATCCAGGTGTCATTGCACATTTATATATTTTGTGTGGCAAACTGGGGTCTCCTGAAATGGGCCAGTGGTTTTTTTAGCACCTGAGGACTCTGGAAATACCTTCCAAGAATGCACGTAGTTGGGGGTACAGAGTAGAATGTTCGGCACCAGAGCCTGGGAAATGGGAGGGGTATGAAAAGAGGTGGGTTAATGGGTGCAGACATACTATTAGATTAAGGAATAAGCTCTAGTGATCAGTAGCACAGCAGGGGGACTATAGTTACATAATGTATTGTATATTTCAAAATAGCTAGAGGAGAAGATTTGAAATGTTCTCAACACAAAGAAAGGATAAATTTTGAGATGTTGTATGCATGTGTCAAAATACCTCATGTACCCCCTAAATAAGTGTAGTTATTAGGTATCATAAAAAAGAGTGAATGTGGTTTATAAAGCAATTCACTAAAATAACATATATCATGTTGAAGACTTTAAAATATTTTTATGTTTTCTGCTGTCAATATGAAGGCCTATTGATTTGGCCTGCTAAACCAAATGCTGTTTTTTTGTAGGTATTTCTCACAGTCCTCTGTTCTATTAAAAATCTCCATTCAACAAGCTACTTCATTAAGATATACTTTACAAGGGTTTGATCTTTGTGGTAAACTACAAAAAAATGCTTTCTTAAAGTTAGTTGTTAAGTGGTTATTATATCTCTTTGTTAATTTAGATAAGGAGTATTTATATTGAACGTGTTTTGGCTAAAACTATGAACTCATATAGAGTAGAACATTTTGAACTCACTTGCTCATTATTCTAGTTTCTGATACTTAAAACAGTGTCTTGAGGACAGTTTTAGTGGTAGAATGCTTAAGTTCTGGGGTATACTTAATTGTCAGACACTTCAAGTTTTATTTTAAAATCTGATTTTCCAAATAAAAAATTGGTCTGTATGCAGCTGGCAGTATAGAATATAGTTGATATGTATCCAACTGGCAGCATGGGATACCTGTCCTCCCATAGTCCCTTGCTAAAGTGTGCTATTTGAAGCTGTCTGCCATCCGGTGCTCTAGAAAATTTTACTACAGACACAGTGTTTTAGGAAGGATGACTTGGAGGACCTGTAGCGTCTTCACTTTTTCAGCTGTTCCAAAATGTATACCAAACTGTCTATGTTAACTTGAGATACCTCTCAAAAATATATATTTGATATTCTTAGTGTGAGACTGTGGCTCTGGGTTTGGTTTATATTGTCACTGTCTTCTTTGAGCCCTCCAAGGAGTTGGTCTTCCTTTGTAACTTGTCTTTTTAAAGATTTTCTTCCCAGGGGAATGGAATATCTTCCGAGCAAAAAGAGGTGTACTGATAAATATGTAATCTTAAATTTTCTTTGTTAGAGAAAAAGGAGGAAAAGTAAACATTCATTTTGTTGTTGTTTCCAGGTTCTGTCTACTGGTATTTTGTCTTACTGAATTATGTTAAGGATGAGGATCTGGCTGGGTGTAGTACAACTTGTGCATCTCTGCTCACTGCAGTGTCCAGACAGTTGCAGGACCGACTGACACCAATGGAGGCGTTACTCCAGACAAGGTACTTTGGCATATGTGATGGCTGATAACAGGCTATTCTGGGCATGATACCACATTTGCACAGAATTGTTATTTAATATGTATGGATGCTGAGCACACTGCTTTTTTGGTAAAGATATGTTTAACTTATGCTTTACCTTGTTCTAAATGATACTAGCCTGAAGTTTTCTTTTCCCTTGGTTTTTTTTCTGAAATTATACTCTTGTATAAGTCGTATTATTTATTATTATTCAGAGGGCTAATTATATTTAATAATAAAAAGTGACATTCCGTGGATGGAAGAATTTAATGTGGTCTGTTTCTCTGTTACATCTTTATAGGTGCCATTATGTAAATTGCTATTCCCCTTAACTAATATTCTTCTACCTGCTGATTATGTTTCTGAAACTTTTAACATGATGAATTAAGAGATAGCAATGGGTCAAATCTGATTAGTATCACTCTCTGCTCTGTGAGTCAAATTGTCTTTAAAACGAAACAAACAGGTAATTTGTTAATTAGATGGCTGACAGGAAAATTGTTAGTATATTATTTTATTTTTCAGATATGGATTATATAGCTCACCATTTGATCCAGTCCTCTTTGATTTGGAGATGAGTGGCTCTTCTTGTAAAAATGTGTACAACAGCAACATTGGTGTCCAGTCAGATGAAATTGATTTATCAGATGTCCTTTCAGGTAGTGAATCCTTTTATTAAAGGAAGTTCTGAATGCTGTATCTTGAATTTAAGTTCCATTTGACCGAGAGTAGTTGCTGCGTTTTGTCTCTAGAGAACTAAAATTCCTTAGATCTTAACCTTAACATTTATGAGTCATTAAACTATTGACCTTAATTTGTTAATTTCCACTTTCCCCCCCAAAACAACCAAACACATATTTTTGTTAACTTTGAAAGGTTTGTGACTTTGTTTTGTTTTTATTTTGTCAATACAATTTAAATGCTCATAAGAGACTATTTACAATTCGATTTTCATTTTGATGTACTTTTGCTGTTTTTATAAGGTTAAAGAACGTGATATTTTATGTTTTAAAAATACTTACTGTAATAAGCAAGGATACAGAAAGAAAAAGCATCTACTGTCTTTCTCCTGATAGCTTTGTGTATATTACATGTATCCTATACCCTCTAACAAATATGCTTTTAGGACTGGATGTATAACACCATTTGTATAATCTTTTCAAGTGCTAGAGTTTGGTGTTTATTTTTGTTAAGTGAAACAATGACCATTTAAAAAAATTCTATCTAATTACGCTTACTTCAAGTGTTGATAGTAAATCAGAATGTTAGAAAACTTATTTGCAAGCACATCAAGATAATTACCACATTAAACATAAGTTCTGGAGGTTAAATTCAGTTTTGTTTATTGTAAAGTAACTTATGAATTATGAGAAAAGCAAAATTAAAAAATCAAATATACAATTATAAATAAAATGTAAAATGCCTCAACTCCAACCTTTCCACCCTCTTAGGTTTCCATTGTTAACTAGATGTTTAGCTATTTAGACTTGTTTGCAACACATAACTCATTCTTTTTTTTTATTGAAAACTCATACTACACTTGCTGGTCTGTCACACTTTTTAATGACTTGTGCTGCTGAATGTATGTGGTATCATTCTGTTTGATGACTTAGGTTCTGATTACCTTATGCCCATCTTACCATCTTCTTTCTCTTATTCAGGCAACATAGGAATTAGGCCATTGCAGTTTATGATTAGAACTCAGAGGAGTGGCTGGAACTGGAGATATAGATGCCTTCAGTGTACCTTAAGATGGAAGGAGAGAGACCCTTAGGGTCAAAGTGTGAGAAAGAAACCTTAAGGGTCAGGTCAAACTCTGAGACAGTCAAATCTGTAAATAATAAAGAAGATTCAGGAGAAGGGACTTAGAAATCATGACACGTCTCCATGTGAATGTTGCATCATCTTGTTTCTCGTCAGTAGTCCTTCTGTAGCATTCCGTTTCTCAGTTAATGGCATCCATGGCACAAGCCAGAAATCTTAATGTCATCCTTGATACATATATCTTACTTCTCCCTCACATTGAGGCTATCATCAGATCATACCTATTTTCTCATCAGTGCATACGGTCATCCCTTGACATCCGTAGGGGATTGGGTCCAGGACCTCCCACGAAAATCAAAGTCTGCAGATGCTCAAGTCCCTTATATGAAATGGCATGGTGTATTATTTTCATATAATCTTCACATACTTTCCCATGTATACTTTAAGGTGTCTCTAGATTACTTATAATACCTAATGCAATGTAAATAAGTTTTTATACTGTAGTGCTTAAGGAATAGTGACAAGAAAAATGTCTGGACATGTTCATTACAGACACAACTGTCCAATTTGGATCCATGGACGCTCAACCTGTGGATATAGAATGCTGATTGTATGTCAGATCTGCTCACTCTCTTACCTCTCATGACCATGTAGTTACAGTATAAACCACAGTCATCTTGAACCTGGCCATCCTGCGTCTGCCCTTGCCTCACTTCAGTACGTTCTCCACATGAAAATGAATGCGCTCTTCTTTGAATGAAAACCCATTTATTCTATCTTGTGCCTTAAAAGACTATTTAAATTCCCGTTACTGAAGTTCAAAGTCTCTAACAGGGCATGTCCTGCATGATTGGTTCTCTTTCTCTTGCCACCTAATCTTGTTCCTGCCAGTCTTCTTTGACCCAGTGATTCTTAAAGTGTGGTGTATGGACCCCCTCAGGGTTCCTGAAATCGTTTAAGGGGATCCACAGGGTCAATACTATTTTCTTTTTCTAATTTTTTTTTTTTTTTAATTTTTTTTGAGCCAGGGTCTCACTCTGTCGCCCCCGCTGGAATGCAGTGGCATGATCACAGCTCACTGCAGCCTTGATCCTCTGCCTCAGCCTCACGAGTAGCTGAGACTACCGGCATGTAACACCATGCCTGGCTAATTTTTTTGATTTATTGTAGAGGTGAGGTCTTGCCAAGTTGCCCAGACTGGTCTCAGACAGTTATCTCTGTTTGGCTTTCCAGAGTGTTGGAATTACAGTCGTGAGCCACCATGCCTGGCCATTATGATAATAGAATGTCTTTTTCACTTCATTGACATTTGTACTTGTGCAAAAGCATGGTGTTATTCAGTGTGCACTTGAAATAGAAGTATGTCAGTTTCAGTTATCCTTGATAATCCAATAAAAATTATTAATTTTATTAAATTCTGAATCCATGAGGTCACATCTTTTAAATATTCTGTGATGAAATGGGAATTATGCTTAAAACACTTCTGCTACATGTTGAAATACCATGGTTGTTTCAGGGAAAAATATATTTGCATAATTGAGTTATAAGCTTGTTTCATAGGATGCCATTTTTATTTGCAATAGTGGCAGACGAGGAATATGATTCTCATTCATACTTAATTATTTGGCAGATATTTTCTGAAAACTGAATGAAAATAGCCTGGGAGAAGTTGATTATAATTGTTGGCAATATTAAAAGTAGAGCTTTTAAGAAGAAATTGCAATTTTTGTTTTTCTCCACAATGACCTTGATAGCTTTCCAGTATGTAAAGAATTCTGATGGTGTCTGATGATATTAGTGAGTGTAACTTGCTAATATTATATTATAAAATGTGTATACTATGGTGTGTCAGTATTTTCCAAATAATCAGTGCATGATGATTATCATTGTGCATGAGTAAAAGGTTCTTTTAATAGTACAAGGTACACCAATTGATCTTTTTTTTTTTTGAGTTGGAGTCTCACTCCATCGCCCAGACTGGAATGCAGTGGCCGCTCCTGGCCACCGCAGCCTCGACCTGCTGGGCTCTGGCGATCCTTCCGCCTCAGCCTTCCAAGTAGCTGGAACTACAGGCGTGCGCTACCACACCCGGCTAATTTTTTGATTTATTGTAGAGATGAGGTATCACCAAGTTGCCCAAGCGGGTCTCGAACCCGCGGGCTCAGGCAATCCACTCACCTCAGCCTCCCAAGGCGCGGGATTACAGGCTGAGTCACCGAGCCCGGCTACACCAATTGATCTTAATGTCATAGAGCTTGAGTTCATCAGTAAGATCTCAGATGCCATGTTGTAACTAATCTTTAAGAAACTACTGCTTGTCAAAGTTTTGAATATGCAAGACTATTAAAATATTCCTCTTTCAAGTACGCATTGTTGTTGGGCCAGATTTTTTTACATACTTCTTCCAAACCAACATGTTCAATGCAGAGGAGAATCCGCCGATCCTCTGATAAGCCAGATTTTAAAGAGGTTTTTGAATAGGTAAAGTTTTTGTCTCTCTTCTCATCAAATTATTTTTGCTATCGAATAGTTATTTTTCATCAGATTATGCTATTTCTTCTAACAGTTAATGAATTTATTTATTATTATTAAATTTCTAGTATGGTAAATATCAGTATAGTCAACATGAATGAAAGCTCTTCAAAGTTCGTTAAGTTTTTAAACTTTCTTTGAGCAGTGTTTTGTGGTTTTCATTGTAAAGGTCTTTCGTGTCTCTGGTTAGGAAGATGCCAAAGTGTTTGATTTTTTTTTCTGTTTATTGTGAATGGGATTGTGCTTTTTTTTGGGTTTCTGTTTGTTTATTGTTGGTGTATAGAGATGCGACTGTCTTTTGCACATTGATTTTATACCCTGAGACTTTGCCAAAGTCCCTTATCAGTGCAAGGAGATTTTTGACAGATTCTCTTGGGGATAGACTTAGAGTCTATACTACTGACTGATCTTTCACAGAAACGAAGAACCGAGTATCACATGTTCTCACTTATAAGAGGACCTTGAACTGTTATCTTACTACTATGAGAAAAGGATTGGCAGTAACAGGAAATTGCTAGGAGGGGGGCGGGGAAGCAGGATTGGCAGTTGTGGGAATCTGCCTGGGAAAGGGGGAGGCACACCTCAACAAGGTTGTCTGCATAATGAACATTTGTATTCCTAACCCTTAATTGCAACCCACATCTTTAAAATTAAAAAGAAAAAAAAAAGAAAAATTGAAGGATTACTCCAGATAGGTGAAGAAAAGAAAAAAATAGAGATTTTAAACTTACGTGTGTAGATTTTAGGGTTGAGAGCTACTCCTCCGGACACTTCATTCTTTCACTTCCTGGAATGTGCCATGTTGCTTCCTGCTCTGGGCATTCCACTCATGCTCATGCCTGGCTCCTCCCATTTCGAGAGAATAAGTACATGGAAGTCTCTTATTTTTCCCTTGAACTCCATCATTTCATCAGGGATTCATTTGATTACTCTGTGACTTAGGACTTATCGCCCTTTGACTTTCTAGTTCTTTAAATTTCTCTTAAGTATGATCTTGTGTGTATTTATTTTTAAGTTCACTTGTAGAGGTAGTTGTTCAGTGCCTGGTAACTAGTAACATAGAAACTTCATGCGGACTGAGGCCTACCCTTTTGGTCTTTGATCTCTGAATTCTTAAGTTGAGTAAGTGTGCAATAAACATTTTTGTGAACTTGTGTCAGGCCCTAGGCTGGCCATCAGTGTGACATTGGAAAACAAGGTTATGACAGTTTATTCTTGCATTTGACAGTCATTCAGCTATTGATGACATTTTTTATGTCTTCCTGTTGTTTTCATCTCTGGTTTTTGTACTACTTTTTCTCCTAAAGAATTCTGTTGAAAGGAAAACTTGGAAAGTAGTTTCCAGAAGACTTGGAAAGTAGTGAATATAATCCTTGCTCATTCAGCTCACACACAGTCACTGTGAACACTTTCATGTTTTTTCCTCCATCGTCTTGCTGTGGTTTTAGTGGTCATGTAGTTGTGGCCATGTGTGTTTTCTTTTTCTTTTTAAAACTACTTATATTTGCTTAAACTATTTTTTTGACTGTAAAGTTATAAAACCTAGGAAATTGATAATATATACGAAATACAAGGAAATACGTATTGCTAAATCTTTTTAATATTTTAAAATGTTTCATTAGTTCTTTTTAAGAGTCTTACATTTATACAATTGACGTCATAGAATATATTCTGATTTTATACTTGCTCAGCAGATTGGCTGATAGATAATGTCAGTACCTGGTTTTTAGATTTTTTTCCCCATGTGATATAGAAATCACTTGTTACTGAATGTATGTTTCATTTTATAGAAAATGATTACTCATGTTCCTGATGAATGTGAAGGGCTGCTACGTTGCTTTTATGCAAATCTGCTTTGTAGCATAGAGACTGGTGTCTACTGTTTTGTCAGTTTTTTTAATACCAAGTCCATTGTGGAAACACTGTGTAAAAGTTATACAATTATGTATGTCGTGACTATTACCTTTGTAAGATTATCTTCACATAAGACTTGTCTTTTTTCTGTGTTAGGAAATGGAAAGGTCAGTAGTTGTACAGCTGCTGAGGGAAGTTTCACATCCCTTACTGGACTTCTAGAAGTTGAGCCCCTGCACTTTACCTGTGTGTCAACTAGTGATGGAACCAGAATAGAAAGGGATGATGCAAGTACGTTTACTGGTATATACCTTCTTTTATTATATACTTTATACGTAATAAAGTGATACGTAAGTATATCAACATCTGTTCTGTATGTTTCATTGCTTCATGTTATGTGGAAATTTATTTATGGGAGGGACATTTTGGGGAAATATGCTTAATAGTTTTATATTCTTTGCTACATTAATTTATAGGTTTCTCCCCTCCCTTCCCCACTTAAAACACGGTTTTAAATCCTTTTGTTCTTATGTGTGTGCATTTTTGGAAGCTTTTTAATTTGGAAAATATTAAAAACATAACAGAAATAGAAGGAAGAGTAAAAATAGACTCCATGTTTCCACTATCGAGCTTCAACAGTCATCAACTGATGACCAATCTTTTTTGTCTGTGATATAGTTTTGTTATTTCTTGCATTTAAAGTGGTCAGTGTGTTTGAGTTAAGAGCAAATACTGTTTTTCCAACTAGTTTTAAGCAACTTTCAGTATCTGAAAGAGTATTTAGACTTTTTGAATATGTGGTGGTTTTGATGTTTTAAGTAAATACCATCACTTAAAAATTAAGTTTTCAACTATTAATCAGTGGAAACTTGTTTATTTTCCATGATTTTTTTCTTCTCTCACATAGTAAGATCAGTGCTTATTAGTTATTTCTATTGTGGCACATATAATTGAAGTTTTTATAATTAAGAAGATCGGTTTATGGTTTCATGTCTGAAATACAGTCACTGAAGGACTTGAATATTATTTTGAGGTAATTCTGCTGTTGGTCATTTTGTGTAAGTGGGTGTCATCTTACTTTGTTCAACAGTTTAACAAAAAGCAAAAACAGTTTACATGAGAAATCATGAAAAACTTAGTCTTGCACTTGTCTGCAGAGTGTCAAGGGGTTTTAAAGGGCATTTTTCAGTTCTTTATCTTAATGTCTTTTAATTCAGAATTGCCTTGTAACTTCTAATTGTAGAAGTAACCAGTAAGTGAAAATCATAGCTTATGTAGTGATGAAGAACTTTTTAAATAAAATTGAACATTTCCTCTATATACAGATTCTAGAAGGGTCAAAGTTAATTTGTATTTGTTTTTATTTTCTTGGACATTTTGTAGAAATTTTTGCATTTACACTGGAATAGAAACGTGCAGTGAAAAAATTGAGCATCCAGAAGAACTATTTATAAATCAAGCCTTTTCTTAGAACTGTCCTAACATTAAGTAACCTGGATCTTTATTTTATTTTAAGAAAATTCATGTGTTTTAATAAGTAATGTTTTCAGAAAACATACAATTTTTTTTTTGCGTTGATGTCTGATTCCGTCGCCCAGGCTGGAGAAGTGGCACGCAGTGTTGACCTGCTGGGGTCCGGTGATCCTTCCACCTCAGCCTTCCAAGTAGCCAGAACTACAGGCGCGTGCTACCATGCCCGGCTAATTTTTGATTTATTGTAGAGATGAGGTCTTACCAAGTTGCCCAGACTGGTCTCGAACCTGTGGACTCAGAAAATACATTCACCTCGGCCTCCCAAAATGCTGGGATTATAGGCTGAACCACCGAGCCCAGCCAAAACGTGCAGTTTTTAAAGGATAAAAAAATTAGGTTCAAAAAAGTATTCCTTAATTCTCCCGACCTGTTTCCCCTCCTGCAGCACAAGCAGTGGAGCCAGTTTCTTGTCTTTCCAGAGTCAGTCCATGTGTGTACATGAAATCACCTTTGTGTTCTACCCAGGCCAAAACTACTGCCAGCAAGGGGACTCTTATGAAATGTTAGGGCAAAGTCCTGACTAGTGGTTATAAGGAGCTGAAAGATGACTATAGTCTCTCTGCTTCCTGTTTGCTTTTTGGAAACATATCACTATATTAAAATACAATAGCCACGTAGAAAAGTGCAGAAAGCAGTTGCATACACCAGCAGTTTATCATGATACAAATTATCTTTGTAATCACCAGTTAAGTAAAAAAACAATATTTCGCCGGGCTCGGTGGCTCAGCCTGTAATCCCGCGCCTTTGGGAGGCTGAGGTGAGTGGATTGCCTGAGCCCGCGGGTTCGAGACCCGCCTGGGCAGCGAGATCTCATTTCCATAATAAATCAAAAAATCAGCTGGGCGTGGTCACGTATGCCTGTAATTCCAACTACCTGGAAGGCTGAGGCGGAAGGATCGCCGGAGCCCAGCAGGTCGAGGCTGCGGTGGCCGGGAGCGGCCACTGCACTCCAGTCTGGGCGACAGAGTGAGACTCCAACTCAAAAAAAAAAAAACAAACAAACAAAAAACAAAACAAAACAAAAAAAAACAATATTTCTAGCAACCCAAAAGGTGTCTTCACGATTACCTGCATTTATTTCTTCCTCATTCTCTACAAAAGCTAAACATCAGCCTTTTAGAATATTCACTACATGGTTTTTCTTTGTTTCTTTGAATAACTACTTTATCCTGCATTCTTGAACACTGGTTGAATAGGGTCTATAAAATACAGAATTGTGCATATGTATATATTTTATCTGCCTTCTTGTCAGTGCTGTATGATATTGTATATAATTGCATGTAGAAAGTTGGTTCTTTTTCATTGATATTTAGCATTGCATTATCTCAATGAAACAAAATTTATGTGTTCACTGTTGGTTTGTGTGCTGTAAGAGCCATTTGAGTTGTATCATTGTGGGATGTCAATCGTTAGTGCCTCCCTTGGACATGAGTGTAGATGTTCATTCGTGGCTTCCTAGGGTGTTTCGTATTCAGCTTCAGTAAGTGTTCCTCATTTCGCTTTTGATTTTATTCATGTTTTGTGCGGCCAAAAGAAATACTCAGATCATTAATCTTGCAACATTTGCTGGGAATTGTAGAGGGTTAATTTTTATAAATATTCCATGCATGCTTAGTAATGTTTACTCTGCACTTATGAGTGATGTGTCGCTTATATTTAGTGTCCCCTCGAGAGTTAGAATTAATAACTATTGCTTTAGTGGAGCACCAGAAGGTGCAGATGAATTTTGAGGGCCCGTGTGTTACGTAAGAGATGAGTATGCTTTCCTTGAGGCTTATATAGTTGAATTCATGGTAGTGAAGTGTGCGGTATGCCTGTACTGTAATGAGTGGTAATTCAATTTGTTTTTCACATGGGGAAACTTTTAATTTGAGGATATGCACCATTTTTATTGTTATTGGTATCTTGTTTATTATAGCTTACGTTTTAAAAAGCTTATGAGAATTCTGGCACAGTATAGTCTGTGTTAGATGTTAAAAAGTTTGGCTCTCAGATTGCCTGGATTTTCTCCATTTCCACTACTTAAGAGCAAATTACATTACTTCCCTCACCTTTCGTTTCATTATCTATAAATGGGATTATAAGAGTACCTAATATATATAATAATATAATAGTACCTGGAGCTTTTCCTTGCCAAGATCAGATGAGTTGAAAGTTCCATGCTTAACACCTTGCCTGACACTGTCTTTGGCTTCACATGGCCCTTGGTGCTGATCTCAGCTCTCCCCTTCTCAGTTCAAGTATAGTTTCTCTGAGCCTTCTTAATCAACTAAAAAGGGAGTCATGATATCTACCTCATAGCGTTGTTCATGTGGTGAATTATAGTCACTCATTGAAACAGTGCCACATGGTAATGCATACAAGATATTGGTTGTCTTTTTCTGAGTGTCACTTTCTGCAGAGGCCTATTATAGGATAAATATTTGCACTGTTAATAAAGTTGGTTCTGCCTTTTGTTTTTTGCTGACCTGTTGGATTAAGCTTGAAATAAGTTTTTATCTCAGCTTTTCCAAGCATTTTTAATAAATATTGGCAGATATTTCATGGAGAAAGGATCCTTTTATAATATATATTTGAATAACATTGAAAAGGAAAGTCCAGGAAATGTCTTTACTTGTAGGTTTCGCAAAACCTTTTTTAATGACAGTGTTCATGACTAAGCATGTGTGCTCGATTTGCAGTGTGGGATATGCTCATCTCCGTTTTAGTGTTCTGGGCGTGGACAGTGGCACATTGTCTTACATATTCTGTGCAGGCCTTACCTCTGTCTTGGCGAAGTTTTAAAATAAGGAAATACGTATCTCTCTTTTTTAAATGATATTCTTATAGTTGAAGGTTTTTTCTTTTTTTAAGCTTTTTCAATGAATAGGGGAGGGGCATGTTAACACTGTACAAAAACGTAATAAAATTTAAGTTTGTTTCTTATACTCAAATTGTATAACAAGATTACTCTCAGTCTGGGCACAATGGCTCATGCCTGTAATTACCAGCATTTTGAGAGGCCAAGGTCAGAAGTTCATTTGAGGCCAGAAATTTGAGAACAGCCTGGGCAACATAGCCAGACCCCATGTCTATGGAAAAAACAAAATAGCCAGGTGTGGTGGCACATGCCTGTAATCCCAGCTACTTAGGAGGCTGAGGCAAGAGAATAGCTTGAGCCCAAGAGTTTGAGGCTGTAGAGAGCTATGAGTCTAGCCCTGCACTCCAGCCTGGACAACAGAGCAAGAACCTGGCTCTGAAAAAAAAATTACTTTTATTTTTAATGGTCACATAAATAAAAATAAGTGAAATTTCTTTGGTATCAAAAATACGTGTAAGCTTAACAGTATTACTGACTCTAGTTTTTCTTTGCTCCAGAAATCATACCTAGATTTTCCAGATCTCGAATACTAGTCTTATAAATATGCTTTTCTCAGATTCTTTTGTAGTTTATAAGTGTGATGATTGGTGTTCACGTGCATGTGTGAGATGTGCCGCCCTCAAACCTTGTTACGACACGAGCACATTAGCCTGTCTGACGATAAACAAACACACAAACACACTGTTACCATTGAGTATGTGTAAATAATGTACTTTCCAGATTCCTTTTTAAAAATGAAAATTTGCTATAGTTTTAGTGTCAATATAGTGTCAGATACTTGAATATGTTTTTCTCGATAACCTTTTCTTCATCCTGGTGTTTCTTGTCTTTTGTCTCCCCTCATCTTGTGCCAGTGAGTTCCTTCGGGGTTACTCCTGCAGTAGGTGGACTATCATCTGGGACAGTTGGGGAAGCCTCGACAGCCCTGAGTTCCGCAGCCCAGGTAGCTTTGCAGTCTCTCTCTCATGCAATGGCTTCAGCCGAGCAACAGCTGCAGGTGCTGCAAGAGAAACAGCAGCAGCTTTTGAAGCTTCAGCAACAGGTTGGAGACCATTTGGCTCTTTGTTCATGCTGTCTCTAAACTTCAAAAGCTGAAAAAGTACTGTAAAATGACCTTGTTTTCGTAAAGGAAGTAGGTTGACCGATCTGAGCTAATCATTTTCGACAAAAATTGAGGTAAAGTCTTTGTGATATATTTAAATTTGTTGTGATTATATGAATGTATTTCCTTTGATACATATTTGAGGGCATATGATTAATGCTTTTTGTAAAATCCATTCTCTGTTTAAACATTTTTGATCAAACATCACAGTCACCAGTTACTATTTTCATGGAGTATAGAACCCAAAACAACATCTTAAAGATCAATTAAAGTAAAGTAACTTAAACTTTAGTAATGATGACACGTTTTATATATTTCATCGTGGTCTAAATGAGTCAGTGGCAATTCCAGATGACAAATTGCATGCGGATAGTCAACACGAGAACCCGTTTCCTGATGACATTTTGCTTTGAGCAGAGCTGCGTTTCCATACTTACATTTAATTCTGCTCTCTCTTCACCTTGGTTTTGAAGTCCTAGTTCCCAGATGCACAAGATATTTTTTGTTAGATTTTTTTTAAGTATGTTCTTGTATAGCATGTTGAATTCAGTTTTCATGAGTTTCATCTTTGTTTAAGTAGGATCTAGTTAATTAAGTGTATCTTCCTGTTAGATACCCGTGTAGTATTCCCCACACGTAGGTAGGCAGGATTAGTCCATATGTGTTCCGTTTCTTCCTTTTACAGAAAGCGAAGCTGGAAGCCAAGTTACATCAGACAACTGCTGCAGCGGCTGCAGCTGCATCAGCAGCACCCACAGTAGGTCCTGTTCACAACTCTGTGCCTTCCAACCCAGTGGCTGCCCCTGGATTCTTCATCCATCCATCCGACGTTATTCCACCCACTCCAAAAACAACACCTCTTTTTATGACTCCACCACTCACTCCGCCCAACGAAGCCGTTTCCGTTGTGATCAATGCCGAACTTGCCCAGCTCTTCCCAGGCTCAGTCATTGATCCCCCAGCTGTCAATCTTACTGCACATAACAAAAATTCCAGCAAGTCCAGAATGGTAAATTATGTTTTGAATAGGTGTTGGTTTAGACATTTGGACATATTTTGACGTGTACTCTGACTGTAGAAGGCAACGTTTTTTAAAATACCAACTCGATAGATCAAATTAGATTAGTTTCTTCTTTAAACTATTACAGAATATCCATCAAGAAAAGAAATGTATTAATTTGACATTGCAGTCAGTAGTTTGTATGGAACAAGAGTCATATCAATATATAGTTGTACTTTTTTCTTTTTTAGAATCCACTTGGTTCTGGTCTAGCCCTTGCGATCTCTCATGCTTCACACTTTCTCCAGCCTCCACCTCACCAGTCCATTATTATAGAGCGAATGCATTCAGGTAATCTTGGACTTTCTTAACATATCTCTCTTGTCTCGTCTGCTGGCCTTCTTAAGCCTAAGCCTTCAGGTGGACTTACCTTACTCTAGAAATTACACTTCAGGGAGTATTCCTAAAACTAGCATTCATATACTTGAACTGTTTCTTGAGAGGACAGAACTACGCTTTTTGTAGCTGAGTGATAGCACTTCCTTGTTTCTGAATAGTTTAAATGTTACCTACGTTTGTCCTGTATGCCAGAAACTGAGGTTGAGATAGGTGCTTTTAGTAGGAGCATGTTGACGAACAAGCTGTAGGCAGTTTCTGCTTTATCATTCTACCGACTGTTCTGTGCTTGAGCAGAAGTAGACTTCAGCAAAATGCTTCGGGAAGTGACATGGATGTGGTGTACGCTGTAGCACTTTTCATTAAGTGAAGAATTAAGCTATATTTGCTTTATTGCAGTGTGGTGTTTTCTTTTTGGAAGAGGGAGTTTGAAAGCTAAAATAGAAGTTTTATGGTATTTTCTGCCTGACGAATCATTCATTGGTAAAACAGCATTAGGACTTTATAACACTTAGAATGAAAAATGTGCTCTTCCCTGGCCTTACGAAGATGAGCCGTTGTTTCCACTGCGTTTTGGTTTTTTGTTTGTGGAAATGACCACAGCATATAAGCCTCCTGAGGAGGAGAGCTGTGTTCTTTGTTGGTATTTTAATAGTGTTTCCCTTTAGTAAAGTATTGGTGATTGCCTTGTTTTCTTTTAAACTAACTTTGTTGAGATGAGCACTATTCCTAGAAGTTTAATTTAGTTGTTTTCCCTTCACTATAAAATGTTACTAACTGTGAGAAGAGAAAGACTTTTGATATTATGATCTGCTTCTCCATTTAATGTGTGTGAGACAAGCAGTGCAATTCTGCTCTTTCTTCATCTGTTTCATCTGGATTGAGCTGAAGAGATGGTGATAAATCCATCTTGGGGAAAATCACTGTTTGAGATCCATCAGAGAGCCTTCCCAGGGCATTCTCCAGTGGTAGTTTGACCACTTAGGACTTCAGCGTCACTGTCACTTTGCGTCTTAACCCCAGTACAGTAGGCAACTTCACAAAAAGTTCAGTGAGGCTTAAGAAAACTAAAGTCAAATAACACAGTTTGGCATTTTAAATGCATCTAGTTGTGAAATTAAGGGGTGGGGGGAGGAAGGCCAGTGGCTGAAAAAAAGAGCAGATTGGTACTTTCCGATTACAAACTACTTTTTGTGATTTAATTATTTTAGACTCTAATGTTTTAATAAAATTTGTGTGTATAGTTTCTAGATTGCTTTCATTATAACTGTCTTATTCTTGGTGGGTTTTTTATTTTGTTTTGTTTTTTAGTTTAACAGGTGGGGGTCTCACTGTGTTGCCCAGGCTGGAGTACAATAGCTAGTCATAGGAGCAATTATAGTGCTCTGCACTCTCCAATTCCTGGGCTCAAGCAGTTCTCCTGCCTCGGCCCCCTGAGTAACAGACTGCAGGCATATGCTGCTGTGTCCAGCATGTCTTGTAATTTTTGACATAAGTCTTGGAATTCAACACTAGTATAGACTGGGATTTCAGAGAAATTTTAAATGAGGGGTTGCAAGGCCATTTTTACTTATTTACTTTTCCTCTTATTTGTTTGTAGTTTAGTGAGTAGATTTCATATTTTAAGAGGAGTGCTCCATACTGTTTTGGAGCATATCATTTGGTTAATTGATATGTTTTTGGTCAACTTTTTCTCTCTCTTTCTCTCATAGGAGCAAGGAGATTTGTGACTTTGGATTTTGGTAGACCTATATTGTTGACAGATGTATTGATTCCCACTTGTGGAGACTTGGCCTCTTTATCAATTGACATTTGGACGTTAGGAGAAGAGGTGGATGGAAGACGATTGGTAGTGGCAACTGACATAAGCACCCATTCACTAATTCTTCATGACTTAATTCCACCTCCTGTGTGCAGGTTTATGAAGGTGAGAAACTTCAAGAAAGTGAATTGATTTGCTTTCTGTGTCTCTGATAAGTTATAAACAATTCTCAAACATATAATTAAAAAGTATACAACTATATCTTTTTAAGTGCATTGCTCAGGTTTTTATTGTGGAGGATGTATGTGTACGTATGTTTATAAATTTTCATTTCAGATTACTGTCATTGGACGTTATGGAAGCACAAATGCCAGAGCCAAAATCCCTTTAGGTTTTTACTATGGGCATACCTATATCTTGCCTTGGGAAAGTGAGCTGAAATTAATGCACGACCCTCTCCGGGGAGAGGGAGAATCTGCAAACCAGCCAGAAATTGACCAGCACTTAGCAATGATGGTTGCTCTACAGGAGGACATACAGTGCAGGTTGGTAGTAAAGTGCTGGTTTTCATCTTACTGAAACTCCGTGTTGTGTAGAATGTCTTGCTTGTATTTCTGTCAGGGAATACCTTTTCATAGGTGTACAGAAAAGAGCAGAGGGAGGTAGGACTCAAGCACATTACGGTAATAGTGCTTGAAAATATTGTGATTAAATAATGGGCTCCATTTATTAGTACTTACTAGCTGGGTAACTCTTTGTTTTTTTGAGTTGGAATCTCACTCTGTTGCCCAGGCTGGAGTGCAGTGGCATGCTCACGGCCACTGCAGCCTTGACCTGCTGGGTTTAGGCGGTCCTTCTACCTCAGCCTTCCAAGTAACTGGAACTATAGGCATGTGCCACCATGCCCAGCTAATTTTTTGATTTACTGTAGAGATGAGGTCTCACCAAGTTGTCCAGGTGGGTCTCGAACCCATGGTGGTTCTTCTCATCTCAGCCTCCCAAAGTGCTAGCATTATAGGTGTGAGCCACCGCGCCCAGCTGGAAGTATCTCCTTTAATGGTTTTTTTGTTCACATGTTTAAGAGATTTAATTAATTCTTAGGTTTGTACATGCATATCAAGCGAACATGGCAGGAATTGTTTTGTTTCTTCATTTTTTTATTTATAGATATAACTTGGCTTGTCATCGTCTGGAAACTCTTCTGCAAAGTATCGATCTTCCCCCTCTCAACAGTGCTAATAATGCACAGTACTTTTTACGAAAACCAGACAAGGCAGTTGAGGAAGACAGCAGAGTGTTTTCTGCTTATCAGGATTGCATTCAGCTTCAGCTTCAACTAAACTTGGCTCACAATGCAGTGCAGAGGCTCAGAGTGGCTCTAGGTGCAAGCCGCAAGACATTGAGTGAAACATCAGAGCCAGAAGATTTCATTCAGGCGTCTTCCACAGAGCAGTTGCGTACTATCATCCGATACTTACTGGATACTTTGCTCAGTCTTCTTCATTCTTCTAATGGTTTGTATTTGGCTTATGTACTTTAAAGGTGGGGAACATTTTTGGTGTGATTTTTGTCGCATGTTTTAGAATCTGTGTTAATATTCTCTGCGTATTGTTAATTTTAGCATTTTTTTAAAAAATGTGAATATGACATATGTCTAGCATCACCGATTTTATCCTTTTATTTTTAATATTTCTTTTTTTTTTTTTTTTGAGTTGGAGTCTCACTCTGTCGCCCAGACTGGAGTGCCGTGGCTGCTCCCGGCCACCGCAGCCTCGACCTGCTGGGCTCCGGCAATCCTTCCTCCTCAGCCTTCCAAATAGCCGGAATTATAGGCATGTGCTACCACGCCCGGCTGATTTTTTGATTTATTGTAGAGATGAGGTCTCGCTGCCCAGGCGGGTCTTGAACCTACAGGCTCAGGCAATCCACTCACCTCAGCCTCCCAAAGGCACGGGATTACAGGCTGAGCCACCGAGCCTGGCTTTTTAATATTTCTTAAATGAATTTTTGATGTGTTTCTTTTGGGTTTCTGCTGTTGATGTGCACATCATTGTACTACTGGCAAAGTAGTTAGTGTTGCTTGAAAATTCAACAGCGAAAACTTTTGGTTGCTAAACTAATATAGAACTATCATTTTCTGGCCAGTAGCTATTTGTTTATCATTACACATTCTCACACACACAGCTGTCTGGTATCTCCACCTCCATAGACAAGAAGTGTTATTGACTTAAGTTCAAGTATTCAACAATTAACGATTTACATATGAGGAGTAAATAAATAGCAACATAAATAGAATATAACTGTCTACTGATTGCTAGTAAATAAGAAAGACCTAGGCTTGCCGATTCTCTTCTTCTACCATACAATTAAACAGGAAAGTTTACTGTTTTCTTTTCTTGTGATAGGGCACTCTGTCCCTGCAGTTTTGCAGAGTACGTTTCATGCCCAGGCCTGTGAAGAGCTCTTTAAACATCTGTGCATCAGCGGAACCCCAAAGATACGGTTGCATACCGGTCTTCTGCTTGTTCAGCTCTGTGGTGGTGAAAGATGGTGGGGTCAGTTTCTTTCTAATGTTCTTCAGGAATTGTACAATTCGGAACAGCTTCTCATCTTTCCACAAGATAGGTAGGTCAGAAACTATTGGCAGTATTTGTTATTAGTAATTCGTATTTCCTACAGTCACTAGTCAGATTTTAGATTCATGTTTGTGTGCATACTGAGCGTGGCAAAAATAAAGGAGATCTTCTCAGGGTTCTGGGGACACCCAGTGAAGGGCCCCAGCTCTGTGTTGAGAAAGATTATAAGTAATCTAATTAGACTCCTTAGTTTTCGCTTTGAACCTGTGAAGTTCATAGATTTGTGTTCATAAATATTTCATGTCAGGTTTTTGTTACTTCATGTGTGAAATGTGTTGTTTTCTGGCTAACAGAATCCTTTCATTCTCCACCAAGTGCCTGGTTTCTTGTTGATAACATTATAAAATATAACCAATAGTTAGAGCTAATTTTAACATACCATCAGATACACATCTTGCTTGCTGAGTCTGACATCTTTGTTTTTAGAAGCATACATTTTGTTGTTTCTCTGTTAAATTTCAATGTAAACTATTTTAAAAATTGAACAATTAAATTGATTCTTACTGGATATTTTCTTTGTATATATTTTTTAGGGTCTTCATGTTACTTTCCTGCATTGGTCAAAGATCACTTAGTAATAGTGGAGTATTAGAAAGCTTACTTAATCTTTTGGATAATTTACTATCACCTCTTCAGCCACAGTTACCCATGCATAGGAGGACAGAAGGTATTAATATAAAGCAGTGTTCCTTAGTAAAAAATAAGCTTTTTATAAATGTTACTTGTATAAAGTATCTTCTCTGAAATACTTAGTTGAATATTCACTGCAGCACATTTTGTTAGTATTTTTATGATGTAGACATTTTAGATTGAACAACCTTCATGTGATTGACTGCCATATAGAAATTACTTTTTAAATTGATTACCTTTTCATTAATTGAACTTAGTATATTTTCTTCTATACCATCATAACGAAAAACTCCTTTATAAAGGTTAAAGCTTTAAGGCACAATTGCTGTTCTAGTCAATGATAGTGAGTTACATTTGTGCAAAATAATTATTATAGGAGTAAAACCTTTAGGACATATGCATTGTAAGAACTATATATGAATTGTATATTTAATAAGAGTTTGATGTTTTATTTCAGTCACCCATGAGCCTAAGAATAGCATCTTATACCTTGCTTTCTAGTTAATAAATTATATCTTGGATTCCGTCTACCCTTACTTAATCTGTTTTCATACCACGAAGCATTGGTCTTTTATTAGACTCCATGTTCTACTCAATTTGTGATTGTAGGTATCTAATTTTGAGGCTCATTATATATAAATATTCATGTTAGTAATGCTATGATATGTTTTGGATTTGTAAAATGTTTTATCCAAATTATTTTCTCAGACCTCAGTAGGACTCCTGAAGTCACTGGATTCTTTTCCCCCTCTCATCTCTGTGTAGGAGTGCTAGATATTCCCATGATCAGTTGGGTTGTTATGCTGGTGTCCAGATTGCTGGATTATGTGGCAACTGTTGAAGATGAAGCAGCAGCTGCAAAGAAACCTTTGAATGGTAAAGAAAGGGAGAGGTTTCTGACAGGTATCAGAAGTTTATAATTGTATGTTGGTGGGGATTTTGAGTGACTTTGCAGTTGTTCCAGAACTGGCTATTGGCCTGGAGATATCAGCTGTATGTAATTTATTGAAAACATAAATTAATTTCACTAAGAATCTATTTAAAGATGCAATTTATACTTGATGGACTTTATAGACAAATTCCTTTGTCTGGAAATTACTTTTATTTTCTAAATACAACTATGTCTTTTATAAGGTTTCTCCCTCCATGCTTATTTAAACATTTAAAATTACATGTGTATAAGTGAGTTAGGAAAAGGATTTTTGTGAAGAGTTCTTATAGTGTTTTCCTTAGTATGATGTGTTATTTTACTTACCATTATTGACTTCTGCTAATTAACTATAAATGACTTCGATGCTTAAATTCAGAAATTTCCAGATTTTTTTCCCCCAGTCATAACCCTTATTCATGGATTCGAGGCACAGGAAAATTTAAAAATTAAATAAAATCAAAGTGTAAGACCAACTTTTCCCCCTCCTCCTCAGTTAACAAGGCTTTTGATAAAGAATTTGAGATACCTAAACCTAATATGTAAACAAAACTCTTGAGATCCATAAAAGTTGGAATTCTGTATGTTGTGAGGATCCGCAGTAGTTTTAAAAGTTCCTTTGAAGTGTTATAGTTGAATCATTTGTTTATAGTGCATATAATGTTTGGAAGATGATGGGCAAATCCTACAGGGAATGTACAGAGAATTTGTTTTGTATTGACTTAAAAAAAATAATATATATTTTGGGTCAGTTTACACAGTTATAGGCTATACAAGTAAGAGATACCATTAAAATGAATAAAACTATAATATAAACTTAGAATATAATAGTATTTGGAAGTCTTACTGTTTATGTTCAGATATTTTGGAAACATAGGTAGAAGTTTAATTTTTTTTTTGAGTTGGAGTCTCACTCTGTCGCCCAGACTGTAGTGCAGTGGCCGCTCCCGGCCACCATTGCCTCGACCTGCTGGGCTCCGGCGATCCTTCTGCCTCAGCCTTCCAAGTAGCCGGAATTACAGGCATGCGCTAACACGCCCGGCTGATTTTT